GGCTGGAAATCGGCTTCGATGCGGCACTGCCGGTAAGCATAATAAGGTTAAGTTCATCTTCATCTCGCCATGTGGACATGTACGCATGGCCTGTGCCAGACGCTAGTCCCCCCTCATACTCACTCTCAGACTACGACGTCACAATCGCGAATACAAACAGGATGAACTCGGACGCCAGCAGTGCAGCCTCGGACATCCCTAACGAGAACCTGCGCGCACTGCTCGATGGCGTGGTAGCTGCCCTGATCATCGCTAAGGACGCGACTGCCGCATTTCCACCGCTTCAGTCCGCAGTCGGAGGTGTTGCCGGAATCGTAGATATCGTGAAGGTAAGTGACCGTTATAGACTGTCGCGCGCTGCCCTCATGCGTTTTGGATCAGAAAATGCGGTCGAACATCGGACAGATTAGGCTTCTCGAACAGTACTTACATCGACTCTCCACCACTTTCCAAAATCCCATCTTCAAAAATGAGAAGGGGTGCCCAGAGGACCTGCAGCGGCGCATCGATACCTTGGAGAGGTAGGAGGCAATTTGCTCTGCTTTTTTTGCCCATCTAATCCCGTGCAGGCAGCTGAAGGAGACGACGGAGAAGGTTCGCAAGATTGCGTCCAAGCGCAGAGTAATCCGATTTCTCAGCTCAGACTCGCATGCTGGGGACATAGAAGAGTGCATCAGGCAGATATCCTGGGCCATCAACAACTTCGTCGTAAGTCTCGTCTACAGGAGCACAGGCTGCAGGCTTATTCGCTGCTACTGCTGCAGATTGGAGGGACCATTACGATCGAGCTTGGCGTTAGCGTAAGTAGCCCGTGCTACCTGCATGCATTTCCAAAGCTTAAGGAGCATGACACTTCAGCGACTGTTGAGCGCAGTGGAGAAGGGCTTCGACAAGGTTGATACACGGCTTGATGTCGTGACTGGCGAGATTCGAGGGCTGAGCAGTCAAATCTCGGCCGGCGACTGTAGGTCTCCTTACCATCATGTTCAACTGCAGAGTATGACCTTGCCAATAGCCGGTCCCACTCCTCGTTATGCTGTTGCTGCTCGCTTTAATTACTCTAGCCAACGCACCGTCTGTGGAGATGGAACGCGAGTGGAGACTCTGGCCACCATCTATGAATGGTTCCATCCCCACCAGACTCAACAAGGGGTCCCTGCGGTGGTTCTGCAGACGCCAAGAGCGGGCGCACAGGCCTTCTGGCTTTGCGGGTGGGCCGGTACGGGCAAGTCTACCATCGCGCAGAGTGTGGCCGAGTGGTGCTGGAAGCGTAACTACCTTGGTGCAAGCTTCTTCTGTTCCAGGGACAGCCGAGAATGTAGCGACATCCAAATGATATTCCCTACTATTGCCTATCAGCTTGGTCAGTTTTTCCCCGAGTTCAGGAAGAAGACTGCAGAGGTCTTGAAGCAGGATCCCGACATCCAGACGTCTCTCGTGTCCCATCAGCTCAAGAAGCTTATTGTCGATCCCCTGCAGGCGCTGCTGCCCGACTTTCCGCCCTGTGCTGTTGTCATCGACGCGTTAGACGAATGCAAGGATGACGAAACGACATCTCTCATTATCCGTGCGCTCTCGCAACATCTCCCCGAGCTAGCCCCTCTAAAGATTTTCCTGACGAGCCGCCCCATCCCGAGCATCACCCATGGCTTCCATTCGACTGGCCTACTCGACGTGACGCAGCGCATCATTCTTCATGAGGTGCCGTCGAACATCACCGACCGCGACATTGAAATTTTCTTGCAGGAGAGACTGGCAGCTATCCGAGAGACCTACAAGTTGGACAGGTCGTGGCCTTCGGCAGAACAGGTATCAAAGCTGACCAAGCTCTCGAGCGGGCTGTTCATATATGCCGCTACGGCGGTGCGCTTTATCGGCGATTCCAGCGTCGGTGACCCACAGGAGCGCCTCCAGTTACTTTTGAATAGCCAAGGGGCGCCATTGGGCGAAGCGACGCCTTTCAATCAACTGGATGAGCTGTATCTCCAGGTTCTGAGGAGCGCGTATCCCAAGATGACTCGAGAGCTGAAAGCGAGGTTGAAGATTGTGCTGGGCACCCTCGTACTTATTCGCGATCGTCTATCTCCGAGCGCCATCGACAGGCTCATGGACCTCAAGTCCGGGTCTGTTCGTACTACGCTGGCACGCCTCCACTCCGTTATCACAGTTCCCGAGCAGGACGACGGTGTCATCAACATCATCCACAAATCGTTCAAAGACTTCCTCATTGACGAAAAACAATGCCGTGACCGTGATTTATTAGTCAGTCCGGCTATCCAGCACCGACTCATCGCACAGCGGTGCCTCGAGACCATGATTGGCGGTCTGCGCATGGACATCTGCAACATCGGACAGAGTGTACCAAACTCCGAAGTGGCCGGGCTTCCGGACCTCATCGCTCAGCACATTGCTCCGTCCTTGCAGTATGCAAGTCTCCACTGGGCGCAGCATGTCTGTAGCGGCGAGGTCGACGATGAACTCTATGGCTTGCTCATCAAGTTCAGCGAGAGCTACCTCATGAATTGGCTAGAGGTTCTGAGCCTACTTGGAGAGCTGGGCAGCGCGGTCTCTGTATTGCAGAGCCTCCGCAAGAGATTGCTGGTGTGTAACACCTTCACTTTCGGGAGCGAACCTTGCCACTGACCATGTCACCTCGGAATTCAGGAGCTGCCCCTTCCGCACTCCAATGTCATCACATTATTATACGATTGCCAACGGGCTGTACAACAGTCATTCCCCGGCCTCAGCATCTCCTGCCTCCAAGCGCATTCTGGGCTCATCCCCTTCTGTCCTACATCCAGCAAACTCAGAGAGTATTACATTGGGCGAATAAGCGGAGTGCCGAGGGTACTCAGGGGGCTCCAGCAGGATTGGGACACATGTATGCTCACTATCGAGGGCCATACGAACACAGTGATGGCTGTGTGCTTCTCACCTGACGGCCGACGCATCGTCTCTGCGGGCGCGGACAATACAGTCAGACTGCAGGATGCTATCACAGGCTCTCACCTGCACACACTCGAAGGACACGAGGATATAGTCCGATGTGTGGCTGTCTCGCCGAATGGCAAGTACGTCGCTTCAGGATCCTTGGATCGGACCATCATCATTTGGGACGCCGTCGCCGGCGGACACCTCCACGTGCTGAACAGTCACACCGACACGGTCAACACCGTGGCCTTCTCCCCGGATGGCCAACTTCTTGCCTCCGGCTCCGATGACCACTCGATACGACTCTGGGACATCGGCGACGAGATTGGCTCGTCCAGAATCCTATCTCCCGCACACGACTCTGTTGTCTGGCGCGTCAGATTTTCTCAATCTGGAAAACTGCTAGTCTCTGCTTCATGGGACGGCGCATGCAAGGTCTGGAATTCAGGCGCCTGGACATGCGGCGTACAATCCAATAGTCACCCTGAACACGCTGGCAGGACATACTCCGTCGCTATCTCACCTGATGAAACCATTTTCGCTTCGGGACTCGGAAAGGGGGGTAACACCATTTCTCTGTATTCTACCGTCGACGGCCACTGTTTGCGCACACTGCAAGGCCATACAGACAACGTGGTGTCTCTCGATTTCTCCCCAGACGGCACCACACTGGCCTCCGGCTCGTCAGACCGTAGCATCGTCCTGTGGGATGTCGCATCTGGCTCAACCCTCTACGCATTGAGAGGGTATTCTGATGAGGTGTACGATGTCAGGTACTCCCCCGATGGCCGGTGGATAGCTAGCTGCGGCCGTGACCAAAGAGTCCGCGTTTGGGACCTGGCCCTTTTGCTGGTCGAGAAGGGGCGTACACCCGTAAAGAAGTTGACGGAGAGCTTGACCTGGCGTCGTGGGTCAGGCACGCACAGAAGCGCCGCCACCGCGCCCCAGCGCTCCTCGGTTGTACGCTCAGTGATCTTTTCGCCCGACGGTCGCATTCTTGCTAGCGGCTCCCGAGATACCACGATCCGTCTATGGGATACTGTCAGCGGCGTTCAGCTGCGAGTGTTCGAAGGTCATCAAGGTGCTGTCTCATATCTGTCGTTCTCTCCTGACGGAAAGAGGCTGCTCTCTTCTGAGTGCATGCTCGAGAGTGACAAGGCCTCCGCAATTCTTCGTTTGTGGGACGTGAAGACGGGTCGTTGCGAACAGACGTTCACCGGGCATGAAGGCGGCGTATGGATGGCGAAATTCTTTCCGGACGGGGAACAAGTAATCTCGTGTTCATTGGACAACACCGTCCGTGTTTGGGAAATCAGCCGGTCGAGGACGCGCAGTACAGAATCGCGCATCATCTACCAGGGCCGAAACTCCGTATTTTCCGTTGCGGTCTCTCCTGGTGCCAGCCTGGTGGTGTTTGGCTGCTGGGGTGGTGATGACGGCAACGATGACCATACACTCGGGCTAATCAGCCTGATAACGCCACGAGCGGCCAATTTGGTACCTTATCAGCGCGCGTATGGCATACCCTCAGCGCTTGCGTTTTCCAAGGACAGCAGCCGTCTCCTGGTCAGTAGCGGTGAAGAATCAAGCTCAAGTGTCACACTTTGGGACGTCCAAGCAGGCAGTCGAGCCGGCCAACCGCCCTTCGACATCGCGCCGGAGCTGACCTTCCTGGGTCAGTATGACGGAAGGGATAGTGCGGAGAGCGTCGCTTTCTCGTCTACTGAGAGGCTCTTCATCACGGACGCCACCATGGGAGCCATCTCGCCGGAACACCGTCCTCGCTCGGCCTCCGAGGACGACAATCCCCACTCTGCGGAATATTCATTCTTCCTCGCTGACAACTGGCTCTGGTATGTGTCTGCCACTAAGAGGCGCAGACTATTCTGGATGCCAGCATCATTCCGACTTGGGCGTTCAAACATGACGCTTGGCCGAGGAAACATGGCAGTATACCGTAACATGGTAGCCTTTGGTACAGAAAGTGGTCGGGTCGTCATATTGGACATGACTCCTTGTCTGCCTCAGACTTGCTGACGAACGATGGGACATGCATGCATAGTTCAATGGTCGCGCGCATACAGTTATTTGGATATGGAGTAGCCTGTGTCATGTATCATGTTCAGTACTAATCACATGTGCAGAGATGCAGCGAGATGTCAAGACGTATGAGGTTTACGTCCTAGTCATTCGCGAACGATCACGATCACATGTGAGAGGCGATCACTGCGCGGGCGAACCTTGGAAGCACAAAAAGCTAAAGGCGTCTGACAGACATTGTTGGTTACAGTAATGAACGAGCCCGCGAACCTATCCTCGCGAACCTCAGGACGACTCAGTCCGGTAGAATATGCCAATAGTCACTTGCATTCTTAGTACATTGGACGTCAGTCAATTAATTCTATGCCTTCCTTTCCTCCTTCCTACGTCCCAAGGGGGTACATGTACACAGTCGTATTGCTTTGTCTTTACTCAGTAGCTCAGAGTACGGCCAAGTTGGTGACGGGCCATGCGCTAGGGGCGACGTCAGCACTGTGCTGGACCAGCGATTTTAGGAACAGGAACACTCACTATCCCTCAGTTCCACGCTTGTAGCCGTACTTCTGGATGAACGCCTCCAGCTCTTTTGGTCCGCGCGAGCCGTACGGGTACGACACGGGCCTCGGCACCTGACCACTTCTGCCCTCTATCCAGTGGAGGATTGGTGTGAAGATCTGCAGCACAACCCGATCAGTTCCGCCCGCCTTCCAAGCCGTATACGCCAATACAAACACACCTTCCATGCGACGTCAAGTTCGTCGTCGCGGACAAAGTTCGAGTGGTCACCCTTGAGCGCGTCCAGGATGAGCGACTCGTACGCCTCGGGGATGTGTGCGTCCAGGAACCGCCGCTTATACGTGAGGTCCATCTCGGTCGGGAATGCGCGGGTGTAGAGGCCTGGGGTCTTCGCGTTGAGCTTGAGGTACACCGCCTCCGCGGGCTGAATGCGGATGACGAGTTCGTTCCGGGATATATCCTTGAAGATGCCCTGGGTGACATCCTTGAACTGGATGCGGATCTCCACCTTCGCCTCGTTCAAAGCTGTATATTCAATCAGCGAATGATGTCTGCCAAGAATCAATAGCGAAATCAACAGACCTTTTCCTGCCTTCAGGATGAACGGAACTCCCTCCCATCGTGGGTTGTGGATCCAGAGCGTGGTCGCGGTAAATGTCGGGCAGACCGAGTTGGGTGGGACGGTATCGTCATCGAGGTAACCGGGTTTCCCGTTCGCGGCGACGTATTGGCCAAGCAGAGTGTCCTCGCGTTCAACCGGAGGGATCGCCCTGAGAACCTTGACCTAATTTCACGTGATAGCGAAGCTTTGTAAGACGGCCGAGTGACACCACAGGCGCGCGCAACGCGTACCTTCTCATCACGAATGTCCTCTGCAGAGAATGAGACAGGGCGCTCCATGGCCAAGATGGAGAGCACCTGCAGCAGGTCTTGAAAGGCCATTAATACGCGTCATACGGCGTGTACGGACGCGACTCACGGTTCTGGAGAATGTCACGAATGATACCGAACTCGTCAAAGTATCCGCCGCGACCTTCGGTGCCGAATGGCTCTTTGAACGTGATCTGCACATTGCTGATTGAGTTCTTGTCCCAGGCCGCGTTCATCGCGACGTTGGCGAAACGCAGGACAAGCAGGTTCTTGACCATCTCCTTGCCGAGATAGTGGTCGATACGGAAAGTCTCATCTTCGGTCCAGTGCTCTTTGATCGAGCGCAGAAGCTCACGGCAGGACTCGAGGTCCTTTCCGAAAGGCTTCTCGACGATGACACGATTGATGCTACCCTTTGTGTCAGAGTAACAGTGTTGCTTCAGGTTCTTGGCGACGGGAATGAAAACACTGGGAGGAAGGGCGAGGTAGAACAGCCGGTTACGCTCCTTACTCTGATATCCGCTTTCGATCTCCTGGAGGTACTGATTAAGCTTGTCAAAAGACTCGCCGTCCTCGTACCCGCCGCTGACGTAGGTGCTAAGCTGCTTGAACTCCTCGAGCTTCGCCTTTCCCTCGTCATCGTCGACGTTTTTGATGTAGGATGTGATGCGCTTGAGATACTCGGCATTGTCCATCTTGGTACGCGCGTACCCAACAATCTTTACACCCTTGGGCAAGAAGCCCATCCGGAAGAGGCCAAAGAGAGCTGGGTATGTCTAGATCCAGTGTAAGCACACTAATTAACGGTATTCACGCGACATCTGCTCACCTTCTTCTTTGCGAGATCTCCGGATGCACCGAGCACTATTCTGCCGTGTTAGATTACGCACACTCGTGCAAGGGGGCGTGCTCCGAGTACGCACCGATAATGACGGTGTTGTCCCTAAGTGCCTGATGGTCAGACTCCATCGAGGGGATCGTCCCCGACATCGAGCGTTGTCGCTGCTGTGCCATATCTGCTGAGGGGGATTACGACAGAGATGTGAGAGGGGCGTGTAGGACTTTGGCAGGAGCAGGCCTGGATATAAAGCTGCATAATCCCATGGCGAACCCCGATGGTGCGGGCGCCCGGCATGGTCACGCTTGCATCATCTCCTTATCATCTCCTGTCACGCCGTCACCGCTGAGTCGTCTGTCACGCCGTGTCACCCCGCTTCCCACCGGTCCGGCCGCACGGGACCGCTCCCCGGCCGTTGGCCCACGCTCTCCGGTACCAGTCCGCGCCTTGTTCCCGACGCTCATACAATATGGCTCTCGCCGACACTACCAATGCTGCCAACCCTGTGCATACCCTTCCAGCATCTCCCGACGCCGTCATCGACAGCCTCCGCGGCCTCATCTCCTCTACCTACCTCAACCACGATGTCTCCACCGTACAAATACGCGCTGGCGCACTCTTTGCCCGTCTGAAGGCCCTCAACCGCTCAGCGAATACCGCCACGCGTTCGCACAAGCAGGCGACCGCAGAGACACGTCATGATATGGATCAGATCCACCTCGGGCTGCAAAATCTACTCTATGAGAAGAGGCACCTGGAGCGTGAGATTGAAAAGTGCAGGCAATTTGCGTGAGTGATTATCCGTTGGGGCCGGGACGCGCTTGGGTAACCCGGAATCAATAGGTCAGTATACCAGGACATCCCGTTGTATACACTTGAAGAGTTTCTTGAACGTGCGCCTGAGGATATGCGCACAGAGGAGATCCTGGGCAATGAACATAGCCTCATGCTGAGCCAACTCAACTTCGAGCTTGCCGAGAGGCAGCGGTGAGTGTCCAAAACGTTTCTATTTGCACAAAGCTCATGTTCTCTTAAGGCTGGATAAGGAGTGCAAGCGGCTGCAAGCCATGAAAGACGAACTGCTGAAGGAGAGCAAGACTCGACTCGCCACTATGGATAAGGTCAAGGTGCAGATTGACGAGCTGATGAAGGTGCGCACTCGCCGGAGTTACGATTCGAATTCCTCTAAGTGTCCCAAACCCTCCGGACAGCATTCTACAGATGTCCAGAACAAGGTGGCGGATCTCGTCAAACCACTGGAGTCAACCGTACCTGCGGAATCCGCCTCATAAACTTGGAGCTTTCACCGACAGATACGACGCTATAATTCGCAAAGTTCTCATCCACGTCAAGCCCCGCATAATGGCTTTTTGGGCCGGAAGTTATGCGCATAGACGGCTTCTTTACGCCCAAGCTTCCCGATAAACTATCCAGACCTAGGTGTGTGCGCTATAGCACCATGGCACACCAAGGAGCTGATGCGGAGAGCAAGCGCATTCATTGACATTGCGTTCGCGTGGAGTTTGGGGGGCATCCTTGGAGGCGCGGCTAGGATGTGGTATTCGGAATTTGCCAGGCAGTGCAGTATGTTAGGTCTTGGCAATGTACCTATCCGCTAATCAAGACTATGGCCTTGTACTTACGAATCACAATCGACTGATGATGGTCATTACCAGTACTTGTGACAACTAACATGCTAGTCGCTTTTTACAGACAGCGTTAGTCCAAAAGACCGAGTCTTTGGGGTGCGCGTTGCTCGCTCAGGACCTTGTGAGTCCTTCGATTCTCACGCGATCTCGGTACTAACGATGGGTACGCAGGGATCAGCGCACGTTGCATGCTGCAGACTGCGCGGTCTGTCTGCTCATTCACTACGGAGATTGGTAGCCCACGCCTCAAGGGTTCGCTTGTGTCTCCCGCTTATTGTGTCCTAACGGAATGAAGTTTAAGATGTCTAGTTTTAGAGCTTTGAAAGTTAGAATTTGGTAGGTGCGGGTTGTGGCTGTGTTGTGGAACATCATATCCGCGCTCTTTGAATAGCACTGTTCTGACCACAGCGATGACGACAGGGCGAAGGGCAGTGTCTTGTCTGTGGGCTGTGCTTACAAAGCGAGCCAGGCCGTTCGGGTCATTGCTGCGGAACCGATAGGTGCGGTTACTCCGGGTTCTTATAACCTTCGTCCACAATACTTACACGGTTTCATCACTCTCAGACTTCCCCTCGCTTGTTTCCTGACTTCAAATAGGATACACGCTTTTGAAACATTTCGCATGGTCTCTTTTAGCTTTGACTTTCATCGACGTCAGCGGCTTGCGGGCGAGCGAATTGATGGCTACATAGAGCTGGACATCCCCGGCCTCACAAAGGCGAAGATCGAGGATGTTCGCTTGGAACTCAAGGGTGCACTTTACGTGTGAGTTCCCACGTATCACTTTCACGTGACAGTCAACCGATTGTGATCATCCTGTACAGAGTGCCCGCGAAAACAAAGTCAACGGCGTCACCAACGGTCGTTGATGCTGCTCGCCCGGTGCGATCAGTCAACACCAAGGTGAAGCCAACAGTGAGTTTGTTTTCCGAGGGCATGTCCGTGTGGCATCAAGGCGTGACGTCTCCCGACGCACTCCGCGCGCCCTTTTCCTTCTTCCTACCGCCCGATCTTCCTCCCACATGTGAGGTCATCTGTTCTCATTGGGCAGGATCCGTCGTATACTCTTTGATAATCACTGCGAAACGAGGCTCGTCGAAGAGTCAGGTCATCGAGGAGCATATCACTGTCATCCCAGGCAGTAGGAAGGGCGCCACTATTCACGCGGCTCTCAGCGCGGGACCCTGGGAAGGGAACTGGAAGACTGTGCATGCAGAGAGGGAGATACGCAGAGGATTATGGGGCGAGTACTCGCATGTCGCCGCATCAGTGAGCCCACCTCGTAGGTCAGCACCAACCGACGACTAATCCTGCGGGGTCGCGTCTTAGCTCTCCCTTCCCGCGAGCGAACTATTTCCCACGAATACCGATATTCCCCTCATATTGCGCATCGTCACGACGTCGAGAGTAATGGACGCCACCGAGGAGAACGAGGCGCAGGCAGGACACATCTTTCCCGCACCACCGGCGCGCTTCCCCAACCTGGACTTCCGACTGGAGCGCTCCACGTGCTGTGCGAAAGAGAAGGCCGCGCCCAGCTGCGATCTCCTCAACCATTTCGACTGCTTCAAACCGGAGAGATTTACGGTAGACGAAAAGAAGGCTTGGCGGCCACTGTCGCAGCACGGCGACGAGGACAATGGGAAGGGCCGCTGGAGGCAGGAGGCAACTTTCAAGTCGACGTTCAAGCTCGAGTGTGTGCCTTCGTTTCACAGGGAAGAGATGGAGCTGACGGTGAGACATCCCTCTTGCACTGTGACTGGTTGAACTGATATCGCGCACAGTATGGTGTGCGATTGAAGGTTGCGTTTCCTGGAATCGGCAACAACATCGCGCTTGAATTTCCGATGGAGATAGTCTCCTTTAAAGCTCCACCTAAAGATGTACCGCCTGCCTTGCCACCGTGGGTCTTTTCCCCGCTCTACGAGCTCCAGGTCTCGATGCTGATTGCGGTGGATGTTTAGGAAAGATTAGCTAGCCTTGCTGTGCCGAGCTATTCTCTGCGCGCTTGCGACATAGTTCATGGACCTCGTGATGACGTTTAAGCAAAACTACACTATCATTTTCGCACAAAGGCCGGTCAGCTCTGCACAAAATATGCGTGCTGCAGACATCACAGCTACACTTTATGCGCCTTTCCATGATCTTGCTGCGCAGCTCACTGTGCATCTATTGTATCTACAGACAGCCAGGACCTTGTAACTATAATGTAACAACAATGTTGATAAATCTGGCTCATTATTCACAATCAGCTGACATTCAGCACACCTTCCCAATGTTCTCGACAACTGATGAAATTTGTCTGCAAGATTGTCTTTCTCAGGCGCGCTGCTTGGGGCGTGGCGCAGAGTGCTTGGGATGTCGTAAGCCCTCTGCTTCCTACGCAACTTGATACTCATATAGATGTACAGGGATCACCTATTTTACACCTTTTCGGTCCCCTGAGCACCCATCGCCTACGCTTTGAGGGCCGCCATGTATCACCCATTTGTTGCGTCCCGACGGGGACAAATCATAAATGAATATACCCGATATAGAGCCGAAAATGCTAGGTACGAATTGTGGCTGTGATATACTGTAGGACATCGCGTTCATGTCGTTGTCCTTTGTTTGGTCGGCGCCCAATAGCAACTATGGCGATGCAAAAGACAACATTTTGTTCGCAGGTGTAGTGCCCTCAGTGTGAGCAAGGCTGTCCGCATCCTCGCTGCGTGATCGTTACCAAGGTGCGCTATTTTGGCTATAACAGTCGCTATACATCAAGTACAAGCTATTATACGCCTCTTTTCTCGTCCCTTGTCCAGACGCGAATAGCCTTTCGCACACTCTATGTTCTCTTTCAGCATCTACTTTGATCATCGCCGGCGGCTTGCAGGTGAACGGATTGATGGCTACGTCGAGCTGGATATTCGCGGCCTCTCAAAGGCCAGAGCTGAGGAAATTCGCCTGTAGCTCAAAGGCGCACTGTATATGTAAGTTCTCGACTACTGCCCGCACAAGGAATCCAACAGATCCTGATCAACTTGTTTAGACGGCCCATAAGGAACGATTCATCGCCGACACCTAAGGGCGTCAACTATAATGGTTCGGTGGTGTCGGTCACCACCACGGAGAAGCCGATAGTGAGCTTACTCTCCGAGAGCATGCCTGTCTGGCATCAGGGTACGACGTACCCCGACGTGCACCGTGTTACCTTCTCCTTTTCCCTGCCGCTTAACCTTCCATCCACATGCAGTGTTATTGGCCATCGTTGGGCAGCGACCGTCATTTGTGCATTTCTGGTCACCACCAAGCGACCAGGCTTGCTGAAAAATCAGATTATCGAGGAACACATTACTATCGTCCCGGGCAGCCGGGAGGGCGCCGCTCTTCGTGCGACTCTCAGCGCAGGTCCTTGGCAAGGAGATTGGAAGGTTATACGAGAGGAGAAAGATATACGTAGAGGACTATGGGGCGAATACTCGCATATTGCTGCATCAGCAAGTTCACAGTGGGATTCTATGCCAGCCGGTTGCTGATCAAGTTGGACCGAATCTAGCTCATCCTTCCCACTATCACCGTGTTCCCTACGGACACCGATATCCCCTTCACATTACGCATCATTACTACGTCTCACGTGATGGATGCGAATGAATCTCAGGCGGAATACATCTTCCCTGCACCGCCGTCGCGCTTCCCCGACCTGGATTTCCGGCTCGGGTGTTCCTCCCGTTACACGAGAAAGAAGGCCGTGCTTAGCTGTAGCCTCCTCGAACGTTTCGATAGCTTCAAGCCAGGGAGGTTTAGGATCGATGAGAAGAAGACTTGGCTGCCTCTGTCGCAGCAAGGGAGTGAAGATAAAGGAAATGGCCGCTGGAGGCAAGAGGCGACGTTCAAATCGACATTCAAACTCGAGTACGCGCCGTCATTCCAGACGGAAGAGATGGAGCTAGCGGTAGGGCATGTTCTTCGTATCGTACAACAAAGCATCACTGAGATTCCGCACAGTATGGTGCGCGATTGAAGATCGCGTTTCCTGGGATCGGCAACGATATTGTGCTCGAATTTTCCATGGAAGTAGTTTCCTCTAGAGACTCTCCCATAGATGTGCCGCCTGCCTTACCACCGTGAGTTTCCTCCTGCTCTGCCGGTCCAGAACGATCTCAACTGCCCCGGGGTTAGGAAACCATAATCGCCACTACCTTGCCGAGATCTTTGCGAACTGAAGCTAGGCGCCTTGCCACTTGAGGTCTCATGACTGTTTGGACGCACCATATAGTGTTATTTCTGCACGAGATCAGCCAGCGAGGGAGGGATTATCGGTCGTCGAGTCGTCGACATCACAATCATATTTTATGTCGTCTAGCGGGGTTACCTTGCTTGCCAAGGTATGTTGGGACAGGCATAATTGCCATCAAATCATGTACCCGACTTGATCCGCCATTTCCGTGCATCTCCGTCAGCTCATCTATCTTTCTATCTGCGCTCATCTAAATATCTAATCTCATCTCTCCTATTCCCTCGCCCGTCTCCTTCTCAGCCATCATAGGTCATGGTGGCCAACCCAAGCCCTTTCTGTAGTGCAATAGACAGCATTGCTTTTTTTGGTCAGAGCAATTTGCCAGTTTCCTCAAGGGCACACTCACTGGGGGCTGTCTGCGCTGAACAGGAAATGGATGTGCATTGCACGAGGACAGCACGCACACTGACAATCCCATTCCAAACCCAACCTGTCTGAGCTGCGAGATGTCCTTGTCATCATCTATGTCACGTTCAGTAGCTAGTTTGTTGGGAGTAAGAACAGTGGCAATACTTCAGACATTTTCATGGCCGAAGATGGACTCCGAAAATTGAGTGACCTTATATTTTCACTCTTTAAGTGGTAGTGTTTTCAAAAGACATACACATGGTGTTCTATCTATCTGTTATGGACACAACAGTGCTCCTGTAATCATCTCTTGCAATAACCAAGCAAGGTTGCTGCCGGCGCAGACGGCCCTCCTCTAGTAGCTCACCGGGTGCATTTGTGGAACGGCAGGGTACTAGCGCCCAAGTGGCAGGAGACAAGCGTAAATTCTGAAAGCTCTCTAGACCCTCTCAGCACCGTAGAGTTGTGTGTATATACATATTTTACTCATCACCGTCAGAATTTGTACCCTCTACCAGTTCGTCCTCGTCGTTACCGGGTGGTGGTCCGCTTTCGCTCGCGTTCCCGCGAAGCAGATTAAGCCACACCCATGCCGAACCCCTGCTCTCCATGTCGTACCAATAATTCACCGCAATTGTTACTTCTGTTTGACGCACGTAGTGCCACCAACCTGCCGGAAGGTACAGTGACTGGCCGGCATTGACTCTAATGTGGATAGGGTGCGCCTCGGGAATGAGCGAGCTGGAGTCTGTCGGGTCCAGGATCGAAGACCAGCGAACTGGCGGGGCATCCTCTTCTGAGGGGATGAGCTCGAGCTTTTCACCGAAGCGGTGGTACGAAGCATGCGGGTAGATGCGCTCTGCGAATCTGCATAAGACTCGAGAAAGTGTGGGCACGAACTGGGTCCTACCTTTCATGCACCACCCTTCTGTAGGAGGAAAAACGGTGAAGGTTTTAGAGCCCCGGATGACTGAGTATATGTTCTCGTACGGATCTTAAAATCGGTGGTGACATTGTGCTTTGACACCGGCTATGAACGTAAACATACCACTGTGGATACTTGTTACACTCCTGCTATCGCCAATCCACAGGTTGACCGCATCTGGTGGGTTTCCTGCACGATTTCCCAGTAAACAAACCCTGACCTTCGAGTAAGGTATAAATTAGTACCTAAAGCCTCTGTCGCAAAAGGCAACTGATCTGGAACATCGGTTAGTAGCGTACGAAACTCTGAAGGTACTCTAGGAGTTGATGAGTAGAGATTGCCATCTTGCGATTGCAAGTAGAGAACTTCAGAATTCGCCGATTCTTATTTCATACGTTAGAAGCCAAATAGTGGTGAGTCGCAGAGCTCACCAGACGATAGCTTGGCTAGAAAATCGCCCATAGTCATTTGTTCGACATGCGGTTCCGCGAAGTAGAGCCTGTCATCTGGTCCTCGAGTGATGGCATCTGCACGACTAGAAGAGAGGACACGTTGGTTGGAATATTCAGATATAGCACTAGCTCATACCCATTCGGTGTGCAAGCGATCGAGATGCGGTTGCTCCCACAACGTTCTGCGAGGTGCTCGTCGGTCCAGCGGGCCAGCGCCTTGGGAACCGGACAGTCTAGCTCGTTATACGACCTTTCAGAACACTGCTTAATGAGACGGCTATATTTTCAACACCTTTGATTAAGACTGGTCGTGATATTCGGACAAGCTGGGAGAACTCTAAAGCAGATGGAAGTGACTCTAGTGTATCGAAGTGAGATCCGTTCAGGTCTTGAGGGACGGTCAGTAAAGATTGTACGAACTTATCCATAGGTTATTCACCAAAGTACTCCTCTGAGATCCATTTCAGTGTTTCGTCAACGCTGCTCGCCATATCTTCTCGTTTTTGACAGGACTTGGAGCGGAAACGATGGTGAACAGAGCCAAGTGACGTAAGCGCCTGCAATGATTTGCGACGCGGCAAGGCGCGTCGCGTTTGTGATCGACGCGTCGGGACGAACTCAACCACAAACCACAACTACGATCGCTCACCCTCGGCCCCTCGGCCTTCCGCGAGGAAAAATATTTTGGGAGGATGGCGGACGAGGGGAAAGGCAAGAAGCGCAATAGACGGCCTGCGAAAGCTGCTGCGGTACGTGCGCTATTCTTGTAAGGGACGACCGGAGTGAACGGATGGTGTGCACAGGCGGCAGCTTCCTCGCGGCAGCGAACGCTGAAGGACATGTTTAGCGGGAGCTCTAAAGCATCGAAGTCAGATGTCTCGGAGCCTCAGCCTGTTCCGGGCCATGTCATTGAGCTATCGGACAGCGAACCGGATGTTATTGCTACGCAGGCCCCGACACCGGTTGAGACCGACGGGAGTGCTGCGGTTTCTACGTTGACATCTTTGGGCTCATTGACCGGGGAAGAATGTAAGTGATAAGTCTGCATATGCTCGATTATGCTCAATCGAGACGTCCAGGTGTTTCGCCGGCTACGATGGCGGTGCCAGAGTCCGAGCCACCGAAGAAACTATTCCCCATCTTCGAGAAACGGAAGACACGGAGCTCTACCCAACAAAAAGAGCAAGACGATGTTGTTGTCTCTGTGGCTGGTCTGCGGCTTGCGAAAGAGACAGCTTCTGAAGTTTCTTCTCCTGAAGTGGACGCTGACCTTGCACGATCCCGCTCGTCAAGTGTCCAAATACAAGAAGTGCAATCGGGACCGCTTGCTACTGGGAGTCGCCGAGATGCACCCATTGTCATCGAATCATCTCCAGAGATCAAAATAGTCAAGCTTGCACCGCGGCCTGCGAAGCCTGTCTATTCGATCTTCAACCACCCTGCTCGTACTGTGACCATCGCTTCTAGAACTGTAGCACCCCTTCCTATCCCTACACCGAACAAGGAGAACCAGCCTGACAGCGTACTCATGCCTCTTCCGACAGCACGGGCGCGGTTTCCCTTGCGAGACAAGGGTAAATCGAGAGAGGTGGAGATGTCTCGCCGGCAAGAGCCATTGCCTGGCCTACCTCCGATATCAAAATACATCTGTAGCCCGCAGCCTACCGACATCATGCGTTCACGCCAAAATATCGACATTCATGACCACATCAATATGATACCCCTAGCACATCAGTGTATACCCTCTGTATCTCGATTGCTGCAAGTAGCTAGAGACGACATACGGCCGGACACTTTCCCTTCGAATGAACAATGGGCAGAATGCTGGAGACCAAGACAAGCGGACCAGGTCATTGGGAACGAACAGCATGCACTGTACCTTCGTGACTGGCTCCAGGCTCTCCGACTGCAGGGCGAGTCGCTTCGACCCGCCAACGCCGCTCCTCTGAGGAAAAATCAGAACAAACATAAGCGCAAAAACAAGAACAAGAAACCGGACGTCGTGCGGCACGTGAAGAGACGTCGGCGGGACGGACGCGAGGATGACTTCTTCGCTCCCGATGATTTCACGGATTCGGAAGACGAGCTAGGCGGACTCGATGACCGCTTCTCGGATTGGGACGATATTGGCTTCTGTGTCGAGATGGACGCGAGGCTCAACGGTAGCGCATGCTCGGCCGGCACATCGCGAGGGTCTTCGGCTGGCGCAGCCACTCCCGACGATGAGCCCGCAGCGCAATCGTACAAACCAACGCGTTTCGGACGACAGATCAGCAATACGATCCTCCTCGCGGGACCGTCGGGCTCGGGGAAGACCGCAGCAGTGTATGCTTGCGCGGAGGAGCTCGGCTGGGAAGTCTTCGAGGTCTATCCCGGGATTGGCGAGCGCAGCGGTGCAGAGTTGAACAAGCTCATTGGTGACGTTGGCAAGAACCACACCGTCAAGGTGCATCAATCCCCGAAGAAGACGAATACGAAGGCGGCGTTCTTTCAGAAGCAAGCCGTACAGACGAAGCGCAAGAGCAATCCACGGAGGGTGTGCGACTCGGAAGACGAGCTTGATCTTCTTCGAGACTCGCAAGACTCGCAAGAAGTCGAGAACGAGACGGTCGACGTCATCGAGAGCAGTAGTCCGCAGCCAGCACTCGAACCCACAGAGCCGACGGTGAACCAGTCAGTCATCTTGATCGAGGAAGCGGATATTCTCTATCACACGGACACGAACTTTTGGCCCGCACTCGTCAATATCATCAGACATTGTCGACGGCCCGTGGTTCTGACGTGTAACGGTCAGTGTCTTTTCGATGTACCAAGCCTGTCACTCAGAACCTCAGTTCCGCAGATGTGTCACTGATCCCACGAGACGATCTCCCTCTGCAGGCTACACTTGAGTTTCATGCGTGTCCAACGCAACTAGCAACATCGTACCTTCAAATCGTTTGCTTAGCAGAGAGAAAACCAGTGATCAGGAAGGATGTCTCGCGCGCGTTCGAGGAATCCTCGGGCGATTTGCGCCACACCCTGCAGCATCTGCAGGTATGGGAAGATACCAGCGTTCGACCGGCGGGAGGAGCGGAAGCTTTCAAGGAAATCAATATCCCACAGTCGTCTCCCGAGTCGAGTCCGCTTACGTGGACCGAGAAGTCGAGGTCGGCCAGCCCTCCACCTGCCTCGTCCGGTGGAGCGGGCGTGGCAGGAGAAGCACGCGTACTCTGGCAGATCGAAAGGCAGCACGAGCTACACTCGTTCGTCGACGCGTGGCTCGCTCGTGGATCATCTACGGTCCCCCATGTATGTCTCTTCGCGTGCAATCAAGGCGTGTTTGGTGGCTGATGTTACCCAAAAGGGCTACTTCCAGGACGAGTCTCTCCCAAATGTTGATGACCCGCTTGGATACACCGTGCTCTCCTGCGACATGGAAACAGACCACATCCCCGTGTCGCCCGCTCACACGCAAGACATGCAGCTCGCAGAAGACGTTCTGGGCCGCTTGCGGCAGCTCGAAGACACGGGTGTACCCCCACACGCAGACGACCCTGATTCCGACCGCACGGCATACCTCGCGCAAATAGGGCCCTTACTCAGGTCCTTCCGCGCGTGGACAGTGCCTGCCGCGGACGCAGCCCTGCACCTGGATTACGCACCGTGGCTTAGGCACATCGTGGCCGTCGAGGAGGAACAACGCGCCGTGTTCGCCCAAACTGAGGCGTCTGGTGGCAGCCAACGGCGTCGGACAAGGAACAGCCAGAGGAGCGAACACAGCTGGCTGTCGCTCGTTGCCGAGGAGAGGGGACTGCTAGCGACTTCTGGGTTCTCTACATAGCTGCGTATATTCCCTGTGAAGCCGTGCTCGTATTACAATGAGTCAGTTCGCTTATGCAGCTCAGAGTTGACCTCGTGGCCCAGCTCGGACCCAGGCAGGCAGACTTTCGCTTGGCCCAACCAATCAGCTAGGCCAAATTACGGCCGTTGGATCAAGTGCAGAATGATACCCGTTCAGGCTCGTCCAGGACGGGCTGCGGGATTGTTCTGGCTCGAGGCAGCCTGGGGTGGGGGTGCGCACGAGAACAAGAACGGGGACAGCCCGAAGAGGATAACTTACGTGACGACTGGATGGACATGGATACATAGCCTTGTGTGCCATGGAAATACATTCGATTTCACTATATGGTATTTGTACGTGACTGCCATCTTGGGCACATGCACTACCCACGTGGAAGCGTCTAGCAGCCACAGACCACGTTGCCCTGTTGCATGACGGGCGGGTCGACTTACCGAGTTTCCATATTATTGCCCAGCACCGACCAGGCTTAGTGTTTGCACGTCGTGCGCGACGACGACCAGGACGTTATGGACGGCGGACGCGGGCCCTTTGGCGGCGCCAAGTCAGCAGAGTCGGCTTACAACGGGCCCGAGAGCATTGCCCAAAATAAGACGGCCCCAGCTTCCACTGCGAATTCGCGCCATTCACCCGTCACGCCGCTCGCCCCCCTCGAGTTCCTCCAGAACCAACGTCGGGGGTCGATCACGGACCCCTCGCTGCACGCTGCTGGAGCCAGCGGCGTCGCCAACTTCGCCAGTTCTCCGCCGAGCAGCAGCAAGCAGCGACAGTCAGACCCGGCTGCGACTCTCGGTCGGTGCTCCCTCCATATCGCCGTCCTCGCGCGACTACTCACTGCCTTCGCGGTCTGTCAGCCAGGCTACAGTCGTCTCCATCGTACAGATTCGGCGAGGCGTCTAGTGCACAGCCCTCTGAAAGCTCAAGCTCGAACTTCCGCCGGATACTGAGGTCGCCGCCGCCTATTGAAGGGAGAGGCAGAGAAGAGAGAAGAGAAGCGGGTCCTGGACAAGGTAAGTGTCCTTGCCAGAGCGCACTGCGACGGGAGCATGCTGAGTTATAGACCACGCTTTCACTTGAAGACTCGAAGGCGGCACGAGACAGCCATCATATGGAAGTGGACACACAAAACCCCCACCAAGGCCTACCCAAGTCTCTGTCGGGCGTCGACTACCAGGGCCGGAGGCCGTCGCTTGCAGGTAAACTTCCCCAGGATCCCGTGCATTGGCAGGCCTGTACTCACCATTCCCATCTCGGCGCTTGCGCAGGAACAAAACGCAAAATGAGCCCTGATGCCGCATCTGCATCGTCTGACATAGATCCACAACTGATAGGTCCTGGTGTGCCCAGCGGGACGAATGCAGAAGGAGAAGAACGTGTGTCGAAGCGACGGAGCTCGGCGTTCGAGACGCATCGGATGGAGTATTTGAACCTGCAGGACCGGCGGGGCTCGGGAGACGGACGGGTGGGCACGCCCGGGACTGGTGGTAGCGGAAGCGGCGGGGGCGGGAGCGGAGGCGGCGGGCAGCAGCAGTGGTGGGGCAGCGAGAGGCGAGAGGCGGCGTCGACGCCTGTGTTTGCGAACACGCCTGTGACTGCCGGCGGTTACACGACCACGCCGTCCTCGGCATTCGCCGACGGGTCGCCACATGGCCGACCTCCGCCCAGCATCACAACTTTCGCGTGGCCCACTGCCAATCCGCCCGCAGATCCAGGCCAAAAGGCCCAACCACCGCAACCAGCCAACGAGGCCAGCATGGCTCCCAACCCCCAGTCCCCTTATGACCCAAACCTCGCCATGTTGCCCCCACCAGGCTCGTTCCCCCACGACCGTCGAATGTCCGTCCCAGCGATTGCTCCAGAAAACATGCCTGCCTCTCCCGCATCAGCCTCGTCCCGCGCCCTCAGATCGCGCTCGCGACCCACCTCGCGCACCCGCGCAAATCAATCCGCCGGCACAAGCACCGAGCAGTCGCCAGGACCCTCCAACTCGGCCCCAGAAGATGGTGCTGGGCTATCCCATCTGCCTTCGAAAGAGTCTGGCTCCACACCATACTCGCGTTCGCCAGAGCTGAGAGTCTCGCACAAGCTTGCAGAGCGAAAGAGGCGGAAGGAAATGAAGGATCTCTTTGACGAGCTGAGGGATCAGTTGCCGGCTGACAGGGGAATGAAGGCGAGCAAATGGGAGATCCTGAGCAAAGGTGCGTCATCAGACCTGCGCTTTCGTGCCTCCTTACTGAATCGCCGCGTCATCTCAAAGCGATCGACTTCATCGGCCAGCTCAAGCAGACCCACCAGGAGATGAGCCGGGAGATTGACATGTTGAGGCACGAGGTGGATGGTTTTCGACAAGGCATACCTCCGCCCTTCGGGCCTGGCGGTCCTCCGCATTCTGTTGTCTATGGGCACGGCCCGCCAGTGGGCGTCCCACAGTTTCAACCTGGTCCTCCAGGACCTCCGGGGTCGACTGCCCCACCACCTCACCCCCAACACGTTCAGCCACCACCCCCACACACCACCGCCCAGCAGCCACCACACTCGCGCCCGGGCTCGTCTCAGAACGCGTATCCGCCGGGCGTGCAGCCCCATCCGAACGGCACGTCAAACACCTCCGCGACGGAGAACACGTCGTGACCTCACTGCGCCCTATCATGTTCAAATCGCATGTATCGATATATCACATCCCTCCCGCGCACCCCAGGACCAAGCCTGATCTATCTATTGAAAGTTACTGTTGTCGCCCTGCTGTGCTGCCCCGGACCACCCCCCACGTACACGCGCGCGCGCGTTCGCGCAGTGCGGGAGGGTCGTCGCTCCGTTTTCTTGGGACTCGTTTGAATAGCTGTTAATCCTATTCTGTTGCTCGCGTCTGCTGACCCCTTCTCACGACGGCCTGCGCCCCGGCCTGCTGATGCAAACAACTCACCTCTCCTGTCTCTCGGGCGACGGCGTTCTGCGAACGTCGCGCTGTACCCCGCCCCACCCGTGTGCTGACGGACATCATTGTTGTTGCTAGATATTACTTATCGCGTTCGTGGACGGTTTTATACAAGTAGACGTTGGCTCCTCCGGCTGGGTGCTGCCGCATAAAGCGGCGGGTGCGCTGTCTTGCGGGTCTTGTCAGCGAGACGGGTGCCCAAGGGCAGGCAGCCACGCCAGAAAAGAGAAGGGAAAAAAGAACAGAAAAGAATACAAGGCGCAGGCGCATTGAGAACAAGGCACCGTGCAGCCAGGCGTGTCAAAGTGCAGATCGCCAGCGGCTTGGAGGCCATTTCGTCATGGCTACGAAGTGAGCTCTCCACTCAGTACTCAGGCCCCGCGTGTGGGCGGGCACCACGGCCTTTTCGCTGGGCCTCTGCGGGGACGCCGTGCCTCCAGCAGGCTCCCATGCGTGTGCATGACGTCCGGGCCTAGCCTCTTCTCAAACCGGTGGTGTTCTGGGGTAGTTCGGGCCGAGCGGTGGCATGCTTAAGTTCACTTGTTCGTTGAGAGTTTGATGATCCATATTTAATGAGAAGCTGGCACTAGGATTGCGGTAGTTATGCGCAGTTAAAAGTATGTGACCTAGGCCTGGTGACCTTCCGTCATTCTAACAGCGAGATAACGACCGATATGTGACGTATTGGACGCCACAGATTACTTGGGTGGTATTGAGCGAGAAGCCGGTCGGTGGGACGTTGGACGTTGAACGTTGACCACCTGCCTTCTGCTGCTATAACGGCGAAGCAACGAGTAACGTGAGTCGCGATTAATGAACGCTGCAGAAATTACTGAAAGACAGAGTGAGCCAAAATTGCAAAATGAGCTACCCGTCTTTATCCGCTCTGTCCGGTGTGCTGGTGTCTTTGAGACTATAATGGCAGGACGCGCCAACGGAACTTGTTCCTGCCAGTGCGAAGTAGGGCTGTGCGTTGTATGCCGCCGCAGAGGAATCCACGGTGAAGCAGCCCATCGTGAACATGCCCGGCTCATGTCTCTCTGGCTTCAGAGTTGAAATTGCAAAGATTGGCGACGTCTTACTGGACTCGTGACCAATCCACTCGGTAGATAGTGGGACGCGCATCGAGGGCGGGAGGGCAGTCGGTACACTGGAATGGCTAACCTTGACCCATATTCGTGGCTAGGGCGGCTGGTCTCGAGCCTAGCGTCCCACTGGAGAGATTCATGTACCGAAGGGGTGCCAGCGTCTTAGAGCAGGGCGCGATCTCTGCAGACTGGTGAGTCCGAGCATCGGGGAGTTTCGGCACTTACGATAAGTCGCGCTCAGCCGAGACCTCCTACGTCGACGGAATACACGTGATTTTGAGGATCAGGTCCACTGGACAAGCCAAAGATCCAACATCCGTAGTTGAATCCCGAGCGAAACGGCTGAGGGGAAAGAATACCGTCCGAAGACATACCTCCTTTGCCCATGCACAGCGCTTTTGAAGCCACACCCGAGTGATATTGGTCGCGCAGTCGACAGCTCGGAATGTCTGACAACAGTTCCTTCCAAGCGGCTCCGTCTTTGACGTCAACGCATTCTGAAAGGAGTCTGCCGCAGCTGGAGGCAGAAACAGTCGATATCGAGGTGATATCTCGAGTTTAATCGGGTTTAAAGCTCGATTTACACGAGTCGAATCAACGGACGAGCTCGGACAACACGAAGCAGTGGTTTTCGGCTAAAAAGCGCATTGTCCTCTCCCGCGCGAGAGTCAGCACTTCCGGATCGTTGATTCGAGGAAGTTTACACAAGTCGAATAAGCGACGCGCACTCGAAGACTCGAAGCGCCCATCGACGACACGGCTGCTGCCGTGCTCATTCTGTGAAGCCCGCGGCCTCCCGTTCTCCTGCTCGCAGCAGGATGAGTCCACCAGCGGAAGAGTACAGCCTGTTCAGGGGTGTTAGGCACACTGTCGATGTTTCTCGGCAGCGGGTGTGCCAACTGGGATCCTCCTCGGTCTGCCCGACATTTGCCGCGACCACGCTCTGGATCAACAACCCACGTTGAGAGGGAGTTCCGTTCATCCTGAAGGCAGCAAAAGGTCAGCTAATTTCGCTATTGAATATTGTGTCTTAACGGACATCATTCGTTGATCGGCTATACAGCTTTGAACGACGCAAAGGTGGAAATCCGCATCCAGTTCAAGGATGTCACCCAGGGCATCTTCAAGGATATATCCCGGAACGAACTCGTCATCCACATCCAGCCCGCGGAGGCGGTGTACCTTAAACTCAACGCGAAGACCACTGGTCTCTACACCCGCGCATTCCCGACCAAGGTGGACCTCACGTATAAGCGGCGGTTCCTGGACGCGTGCAAATCGCTTATTCTCGACGCGCTCAAGGGTGACCACTCGAACTTTGTCCGCGACGACGAACTTGACGTCGCCTGGAAGGTGCGTTTGTGTTGGCGTATACGACTTGGAAGGCGGGCGGAACTGATCGGGCTGTGCTGCAGATCTTCACACCAATCCTCCACTGGATAGAGGGCAGAAGTGGACAGTAGCCGAGGCCCGTGTCCTACCTGTTCGCAAATGACTAGGACGTAAACCTCATACGTCTTGACATCTCGCTGCATCTCTGCACATGTGATTAGTACTGAACATGATACATGACACAAGCTGGTCCATATCCAAATAACTGTATGCGTGCGGCCATTGAACTATGCATGCATGTCCCGTCGTTCGTCAGCAAGTCTGAGGCAGACAAGGAGTCATGTCCAATATGACAACCCGACCACCTTCTGTACCAAAGGCTACCATATTACGGTATACTGCCATGTTTCCTCGGTAAGGTGTCACGTTTGAACGCCCAAGTCGGAATGATGCTGGCATCCAGAATAGCCTGCGCCTCTTGGTGGCGGACGCATACCAGAGCCAGTTGTCAGCGAGGAAGAATGAATATCCCGCAGGGTGGGGACTGTCGTCCTCGGAGGCCAAGCGAGGACGGTGTTCCGGCGAGATGGCTCCCATGGTGGCGTCCGTGATGAAGAGCCTTTCCGTAGACGAGAACGACAGTCTCCGCGCGGTCCCCTCCGTCATATTGATCCAGGAAGGTCAGTTCCGGCGCGATGTCGGAGGGCGGTTGGCCGGCTCGACAGCTTGCTTGGACGTCCCAAAGTGTGACACTTGATTCTTCATCGCTACTGACCAGGAGACGGCTGCTGTCCTTGGAAAACGCAAGCGCTGAGGGCATGCCATATGCGCGCTGATAAGGTACCAAATTGGTCGCTCGTGGCGTTGTCAGGCTGATTAGCCCGAGTGTATGGTCATCGTTGCTGTCACCACCCCAGCAGCCAAACACCATGAGACTGGCACCAGGAGAGACCGCAACGGAAATGACGGGGCTTCGGCCCTGGTAGATGATGCGCGGTTCTGTACTGCGCGTCCTTGACTGGCTAACTTCCCAAACACGGACGGTGTTGTCCAATGAACACGAGATTACTTGTTCCCCGTCCAGAAAGAATTTCGCCATCAGTACGCCGCCTTCATGCCCGGTGAACGTCTGTTCACAGCGACCCGTCTTCACGTCCCACAAACGAAGGCTGGAAGGGGCCCCATCATCCTCGGGCATGCGCTCAGATGAAAGCAGCTTTTTTCCGTCGGGAGAAAACGATAGGTACGAGACAGCACCTTGATGACCTTTGAACATCCGTAGCTGAACACCGCTGGCACTATCCCATAGACGGATCGTGGTATCTCGGGAGCCGCTAGCAAGAATGCGACCGTCGGGCGAAAAGATCACTGAGCGTACAATGGAGGAGCGCTGGGGCACGGTGGCGGCGCTTCTGTGCGTGCCTGACCCATGACGCCAGGTCAAGCTCTCCGTCAGCTTCTTTACGGGTGTATGCCCCTTCTCGACCAGCAAAAGGGCCAGGTCCCAAACGCGGACTCTTTGGTCACGGCCGCAGCTAGCTATCCACCGGCCATCGGGGGAGTACCTGACATCGCACACCTGATCGGAATGCGCTCCCAATGCGTAGAGGGTTGAGCCAGATGCGACATCCCACAGGACGATGCTACAGTCTGTCGAGCCGGAGGCGAGTGTGGTGCCGTCTGGGGAGAAATCGAGAGACACCACGTTGTCTGTATGGCCTTGCAGTGTGCGCAAACGGTGGCCGTCGACGGTAGAATACAGAAGAATGGTGTTACCCCCCTTTCCGAGTCCCGAAGCGAAAATGGTTTCATCAGGTGAGATAGCGACGGAGTATGTCCTGCCAGCGTGTTCAGGGTGATTATTGGATTGTACGCCGCATGTCCAGGCGCCTGAATTCCAGACCTTGCATGTGCCGTCCCATGAAGCGGAGACTAGCAGTTTTCCAGATTGAGAAAACCTGACGCACCAGACAACAGAGTCGTGTGCGGGAGACAGGATTCTGGACAAGCCAATATTCTTGTCACCAATGTCCCAGAGTCGTATCGAGTGGTCATCGGAGCCGGAGGCAAGAACTTGACCGTCCGGGGAGAAGGCCACGGTGTTGACATCGTCGATGTGACCGTTCAGCACATGGAGGTGCCCGCCAGTAACGGCGTCCCAAATGATGATGGTCCGATCGTTGGAACCTGAAGCGATGTACTTGCCATTCGGCGAGACAGCCACACATCGGACTGCACCCGTGTGTCCTTCCAGTGTGTGCAGGTGGGAGCCTGTGATAGCATCCTGCATTCTGACTGTATCGTCCCAGCTCGCGGAGACGATGCGTCGGCCGTCAGGTGAGAAGCACACAGCCATCACTATCCTCGTATGGCCTTCGATAGTGAGCATACATGTGTCCCAGTCTTGCTGGAGCCCCTTGAGTACCCTCGGCACTCCACTTATTCGTCCAATGTAATACTCTCTGAGTTTGCTGGATGTAGGACAGAAGGGATGAGCCCAGAATGCGCTTGGAGGCAGGAGATACTGAGGCCGGGAAATGATTGTTGTACAGCCCGTTGGCAATCGTATAATAATGTGATGACATTGGAGTGTGGAAGGGGCAGCTCCTGAATTCCGAGATGACATGGTCAGTGGTGAGGTTCGTTCTCGAGAGTGAAGGTGTTACACACCAGCAATCTATTGCGGAGGCTCTGCAATACAGAGATCGCGCTCCCCAACTCTCCGAGTAAACTCAGAACCTCTAGCCAACTTAGTAGGTGGCTCTCGCTGAACTTGATGAGCAAGCCATAGAGTTCATCGTCGACCTCGCCGCTACAGACATGCTGTGCCCAGTGGAGACTTGCATACTGCAAGGACGGAGGAATGTGCTGAGCGATGAGGTCCGGAAGCCCAGCCACCTCGGAGCTTGGTACACTCTGTCCGATGTTGCAGATGTCCATGCGCAGACCGCCAATCATGGTCTCGAGGCACCGCTGTGCGATGAGTCGGTGCTGGATAGCCGGACTGACTAATAAATCACGGTCACGGCATCGGTTTTCGTCAATGAGGAAGTCTTGGAACGATTTGTGGATGATGTTGATGACACCGTCGTCCTGCTCGGGAACTGTGACAACGGAGTGGAGACGTGCCAGCGTAGTACGAATCGACCCGGGCTTGAGGTCCATGAGCCTGTCGATGGCGCTCGGAGACAGGCGATCGCGGATAAGTACGAGGGTGCCCAGCACAATCTTCAACCTCGCTTTCAACTCTCGAGTCATCTTGGGATACGCGCTCCTCAGAACTTGGAGATACAGCTCATCCAGTTGGTTGAAAGGCGTCGCTTCGCCAACCGGCGCCCCTTGGCTATTCAAAAGTAACTGGAGGCGCTCCTGTGGGTCACCGACGCTGGAATCGCCGATAAAGCGCACCGCCGTAGCGGCATATATGAACAGCCCGTTCGAGAGCTTGGTCAGCTTTGATACCTGTTCTGCCGAAGGCCACGACCTGTCCAACTTGTAGGTCTCTCGGATAGCTGCCAGTCTCTCCTGCAAGAAAATTTCAATGTCGCGGTCGGTGATGTTCGACGGCACCTCGTGAAGAACGATGCGCTGCGTCACGTCGAGTAGGCCAGTCGAATGGAAGCCATGGGTGATGTTCGGGATGGGGCGGCTCGTCAGGAAAATCTTTAGAGGAGCTAGCTCGGGGAGATGTTGGGAGAGCGCACGGATAATGAGAGATGTCGTTTCGTCATCCTTGCATTCGTCTAACGCGTCGATGACAACAGCACAGGGCGGAAAGTTGGGCAGCAGCGCCTGCAGGGGATCAACAATAAGCTTCTTGAGCTGATGGGAGACGAGAGACGTCTGGATGTCGGGATCCTGCTTCAAGACCTCTGCAGTCTTCTTCCTGAACTCGGGGAAAAACTGACCAAGCTGATAGGCGATGGTAGGAAATATCATTTGGATGTCGCTACATTCTCGATTGTCCCTGGAACAGAAGAAGCTTGCACCAAGGTAGTTACGCTTCCAGCACCACTCGGCCACACTCTGCGCGATGGTAGACTTGCCCGTACCGGCCCACCCGCAAAGCCAGAAGGCCTGTGCGCCCGCTCTTGGCGTCTGCAGAATCACCGCAGGGACCCCTTGTTGAGTCTGGTGGGGATGGGACCATTCATAAATGGCGGCCAGAGTCTCCACTCGCGTTCCATCTCCACAGACGGCGCGTTGGCTAGGGTAATTAAAGCGGGCGGCAACAGCATAACGAGGAGTGGGGCTGGCTATTGGCAAGGTCATGTTCTGCAGTTGAGAACGTGGTAAGAGGACCTACAGTCGCCGGCCGAGATTTGACCGCTCAGCCCTTCAATTTTGCCAGTCATGACATCGAGCCGCGTATCGACCTTGTCGAAGCCCTTCTCCACTGCGTTCAACAGTCGCTGAAGTGTCATGCTCCTTAAGCTTTGGAAATGCGTGCAGGTAGCACGGGCTACTTACGCTAACGCCAAGCTCGATCGTAATGGTCCCTCCAATCTGCAGCAGTAGCAGCGAATAAGCCTGCAGCCTGTGCTCCTGTAGACGAGACTTACGACGAAGTTGTTGATGGCCCAGGATATCTGCCTGATGCACTCTTCTATGTCCCCAGCATGCGAGTCTGAGCTGAGAAATCGGATTACTCTGCGCTTGGACGCAATCTTGCGAACCTTCTCCGTCGTCTCCTTCAGTTGCCTGCACGGGATTAGGTGGGCAAAAAAAAAAGCAGAGCAAATTGCCTCCTACCTCTCCAAGGTATCGATGCGCCGCTGCAGGTCCTCTGGGCACCCCTTCTCATTTTTGAAGATGGGATTTTGGAAAGTGGTGGAGAGTCGATGTAAGTACTGTTCGAGAAGCTTAATCTGTCCGATGTTCGACCGCATTTTCTGATCCAAAACGCATGAGGGCAGCGCGCGACAGTCTATAACGGTCACTTACCTTCACGATATCTACGATTCCGGCAACACCTCCGACTGCGGACTGAAGCGGTGGAAATGCGGCAGTCGCGTCCTTAGCGATGATCAGGGCAGCTACCACGCCATCGAGCAGTGCGCGCAGGTTCTCGTTAGGGATGTCCGAGGCTGCACTGCTGGCGTCCGAGTTCATCCTGTTTGTATTCGCGATTGTGACGTCGTAGTCTGAGAGTGAGTATGTGGGAGGACTAGCGTCTGGCACAGGCCATGCGTACATGTCCACATGGCGAGATGAAGATGAACTTAACCTTATTATGCTTACCGGCAGTGCCGCATCGAGCCGATTTCCAGCCTCCACCCATCTCGCGAACGAGTGCCAGGTATGTCGAACTACGAAGGGATTGCAGAAGAACACATGCCACAAGCCAGTTGCACAGGTCAGCGATGTCCCTGACAGATGTACCGCAGCGGGTAGAATCAATACAACTTGGGACCGCAAAACCAGATTCTGAGGCAAGCACAGGGACAATTAATACGGTTATAGATAGGGTTGGCTGCCATCATTCGTAATATGCTATACGCACGCATAATATCAGTTGGATAAGACAGAGCGTATCTG